ATATAACCAGCCAGATAGCTTCGGAGAAAGACATAGCAAACGCTGTGATGATCACACATGTTAAAGACGGGAAAAGAACACTTCGTCGGCCATATTTGTCTGAAATCATCCCAAGTACAAGAGCACCAATGGCCCAACCAATGTAGAATATGGAGTTAGCTAACCATGCGTAGATGCTACGATCACACACTAAATCAAACTGCAAATATGGTCAAAATTGGTTAGCTGCAGTTGGTTGGTGGGTTGGTTGTAATTAGTGATTTGATTGGTCTGTCGGTTGGCTGGTTTGTTAGTTGCCAAATGGTGTCTCTGCTTTTTATCTAATTCAAATTTTTAATCAAGTTTGGTAGATACTAAAACAATTAGACTTCTCAGTGAGTACACCTTGAAATACGAGTTCAAAGTCCATTCCGGAGTACGGCATGTGCGATACTCTACAGAATCTAGCTTATATTAAACCTGTTTGTCTGGGTATGACGACCGTTTGTCTGGGTACGACAGGTTTACCATATCCATATGCAAATAACCTTCTTGAAAATCATTTTTGGAGAAATCGCGATAGAAAACACTGCGAAAAAGCATAACAAATCCCAGGGGTCTCAAAAGACCAAATGATATACAGTAATGTTCTGTGTTATGATTTACGAAAACCCGTCGCCCGTATTGACACACGGTCACGTACTCCAGAATATCAAATTTACTCACAAAACGTGTTCACTCGGAAATCATGATTAAAATACGGGGAAATTCACGACACATTTTATTGGAAATAGTATTTTCAAGATATTTTAGAAACGAAAGATATCATATTTGTAAGACCTCGCATTGCTCTGATACGAAGCTGAGTCACAAGGGTGATCGCTTTTGGCATCAAATATAATAACAAGCTAGACCAACGTAGAAAGAGTCGAAATCCCATAGTTTGCTGTGCAAAAACACTTACTTTCTATCTATCTAAACTTTAACTTTAGAAACATTAATTCGCGCGCTTCGTTTCAAACGATTTTCAGTTAAGACCACTTTCACTTACATCTGTAACAATTGTTCKGTGAGGTCCTTCGTAGAGATTAGTGTCTGCAAATTTCCACTCTGTACGGTTCAAAGAACACCTCCTCCTGTAAAGCTCGATTGGTTTCGTTGCCGTACTGAAGATTTCTTGGCCGGTTGCGTTTGGTAGCAGACAAGCCGTGCTGTTTTCAGTGCACATCCAGGGAGGCTCGTAAGCCATGAAAACCATAATGAGCGTTTGATAGGTAACAGGGAAAAATATAAACAAAAAAAAGGCCAAAATTCGGATCTGGAATGGTCCAAATTGACCAATGTTCTTAAGGAAATTATCGACGTCCATGTTTCAATGTGTTAATTGAACAAGTGAGCACAGAAATGAAGTGGAGTGGATTGGACTTTGAAATTTGTAATCTTTGGAACTGTGTCGAAGTCACTAGCAATACTAAGTGACGTTTAAACCTACCATTTCCGTCTCATTCCTAATACTGAAAATTTGAGAATCACAGTTTAAAAACGGTTCTCTAAATGTGCACAGCCCATGTAAGCATCTGTTATGCAAAGATCTTGAAACTAAGGAAATTCTAAGTAAACTCGTAGCAAAAAAGTATCGTCCTGGGCGACTGAAAGCAAGAAATTCCAGAACCAACTTTTTTTCAAAACTACTCGCGTTGATTACTTCTGCCTTGCGCCTGCATCGTGTTTAGCCCGCCACTYAAACTAATAGCGATTTTAAACTAGCCAAAATAACAACAGGTTCTGCGTTTATTGAGGGCTTGATTGSCCAAAGTGCAACTGCAGGTCAGTAAAAAAGGGATCTGGGTCAATGACTGTTTCGAGCTGAAAAGTACACTCAACGAATTCAATTCTTTGTTGAATGAATGTTGACTCAGGTTCCCAGTGCGTAACAACAGGATTGGACTAGATGGAAATCGGAATAGAAATGCGCAGCGACGCCATTTTGTACAGCAAAGCATTATGGTATAGTTGAGTTCTAGTTTTGGGCTTCCTTTGCCGAATCTATGCCCATATTTCCATGASCTGTTTCGCTAGAATAACTGCAAGTTTTAGACGATTTAAAGCTTAAAAAAACAGAGAAACTCGCGAAAAACGAGTCCACAAGTACTTCAAAATAAGGTAAGATTAACAGATATGTCTTCTAAACGAATGAAAACTTTTTTAGCGCCAATTAATTCTTTAATATGCATACCGTAGTAGACAACTTCATGATAAGTTTTTAGGTGTCCCGATCATGAAAATGTGTTCATGTATCGATTTTTGCTAAGTATTTGGTGATTTCCACTTCTCTTTTCTCAGCTGTTCATACTGAACTTATT